AAAAAGATAATTATAATAAAATAATTTATTTAATATTTAATCTAAAGATGTTTGTGTAATAATGTAATTATTAAAAATAAAAGCAAAGAAAGATCTTGTATAGCTAACACATTAAAATATTTGAAAAAAAGAAAGAAAGCTGATTATAACAAAGAGATAATTGTGTGCGTCCAATGTAACAGAATGTGGCAATCAATTGAGTCGTTAAAATCAATTGATGTAATTTGAAAGCATATATGCATATAAAGCATATATATATATATATATACATATACATACATGAAATATTAATAACAATTTGTATAGAAAAATAATTGAAATAATAAAAAGTTATATACATGCATGATACAATAAATGATTGTTAATTACCAACAAGCAGAGAAAAAGTATTCTAAAATATGCAAACAGGATATACTCTAAATTAGCACAATTTTACAAAGCTAGAAATACTAAAATTATATAAAATATTATATTATATAATATATACAAGAAAATATATATAAATAATCTTGTTAATATAATATATGCATATCAAATATTATTCTCATCAATAAATGAAGTAAATGTAACGTACAAAATAAAAAGATTTGATTACATAATGCATTACATAAATATATAAAATTATATTCTTTTGAATTATATTTAAGAGAAAAATTGTCAAGTACCTTCTATAATCATCTTCCTTGCATTTAATTATTTAAATAGAATTTAGCAAGATAAATAGCAAAGAAACACTATATTATTGCTTAGCAGATTATAATTATTGATAATAATTTTTTACTGAATGCTGTGAAAATTAGAAACACTATTTCAAGTCTTGCGCTTCTGACTGTGAGTGATAACATGAAAGACTCAAATTCATTCAGCTGAATCAACATGTCACATCAGCAAAATAAATCTTTGTACACAAGAAAATATGATTCTTTTAAAAGTTAGGAATGCAGAAAATTATTTGATATAGTTTAAATTATACAATAAATTGTATAATTGTGTGCACAATAAAATTATAAATACAAATACAAAAGACAAATAAATGAATATACAAAGAGAAAATAATAGATACATAAATAAAATTTATACACACACACACACACACACACACATTTTTTTTAATAAAACGTAAACAATTAAAAATATATAAATAAAGGAATAAATATGTAAATATAATAAAATTTAGCATAAATAAATATATGGGCGATTTTATATATACATATAAAATTTCTGCATTATTTTATAATTAATTATTTATAACATTTTGATGGATCATAAATCGATTTTTGCTGCATTTTGATTAAATAAAAATTTTAAGAATTTTAAATGCACTTATAAGATTGATTTCATTGCTATACTATATATAAATTACACATACTAAGAAATTTTCTTTTTGAGATTTCAAATTGAAAAAATATTTATTTCACTTTAAGTACAAAAAGTATATATACTAGTCAACTATAAAAAAATAGATCTATTATTTGTTACAAAGCAATTAAATAATAAGCAAATAAGCATTTTAAGATAAAAAATCGCATTCATATCTCACTTTTATTGGAAAATATACGTATGTATTTCTGAAATTCATTAATATATGCAATATGAACTATATGCTAAATGCGCGCATTAATTGATAAAAATGAGATTTGAATACGGATTCTTGTATTTTAAAAATATCTTATCAGTCTTCAGCTGAATTATAATAGAGAATGAGATAAATGAAATAAATGATGCCTCAGAAAAGCTTTTAAGAAAGAGATCTAAGAAAATGTACATGTTTCCTATGGAAATTGTTAACAATTAAGATAATTCATTAAATTGTTAAAAATAAATTAATTTATTTGAGTGCACTAGTTGAATTAAAATTATTTTCGTAATATAATTAATATAATTATCAATCATAAAATACAATTCACAATATGTTAAGATTAATCTAAATATTTGGATGTTGATAATATATCAAAAATTATAATTTTATTTCACAGATTAAATTTTTTCAAATTTATTTAAATTTTTTCCTAAGATTAATTTAAAATCAATTTAAACTTCATTGAATTATCTTAAATTGTAAATATTATGTATCAAAACAATTAAAACAAAAATTATACATTACTAATTTTAATCAAACCAGTCTGTTCAGTCTGCTTATTTTATAAAATTAGATTAAAATTATTAAGATTATATTTTGTTTCTATCAAGCTCAACTATGAACCAATGTTAAATCCACAAATACTTCACTGTCAATGCCAAGGATGTTAAGTCCACAGCATAAAAGCCTCTTCTGCAGACTGGTTTGGGCAGCTGTATGGTGGGAAAATAAAACCACAAGAAAACCATTCCAAGAAAGCTGCATTCCCCTGTAGCCATGATAGCGGATGCGACAGACGGCGTACCATGACCCCATTACCTTTGGAAGGTACGATGCGGGTCCCATTAGAGTCTTTCAGAAGAGTCTGTTCCTCAGGCCCCGCGCCAAATTCTTTCTTCGTGTAAGTGCCTGCCATCTTTCTTTTTTTGTTAATTTTTTCGTTATAAAAGAAAATTCTTCAAACGCTATTGACTTTGATGATGTACTTCAGTAATAACTGCAACAACTTTAATACATCTCTCGACAACTGGTCCAGAAAAAGTGTAATTCCATAAGTACTTTCTACACTTTATTATCTGATTTGTCCTTGTCTGAAAAATAATATTTATTTTCAGTTGTGATGTAACTGGTATTGCATGGAATTTTTATAACATCTTTGAAAGTTTATCGCTATTGTGTGCAAAAATTAAAGTAAATTTGAAATAGTTTTATATAAAAAATTTGTATGTAAACTAATCATAAGATGGTACTCAAAGTTAATTATTATATTTAAGATTATTATATTTACTGTTAATTATTATATTTACTGTCTAATTGTAAGTATAAATTTAAGATATCATAAATCAATCACAGAATAGTATATAGTTGATTCTTATATTTAATTCTCTTAAATATAGTCTTAAAAGATCATAAACCAATTAGAAAACCACATTAGCATTTTAAAATATTATTTAAGATAAATTTTAAAATAAGAATCGACTATAGCCATAAAGAATATATGAGATATATGATATCCAATGTAAATTTAAAAAAATTTTAATATTATTCAAAGGGTATATATACAGCAAAACAAAAATCTATCCTTTTATACATATAAAATGGTAAATAAATCTAAATTAAAATTATGAGAAATATTTTCATATTTTAAGCAAACTATAAATATTACTATTTTATATAAATAACTTTAATAATTTAGTAAATAATTTTAATAAATACAATTTAATTTAATAAATAAATCTGAATATACTCGATGTAATAAGTCTAAAAATCATAAAATAAAATTAGATTAATAATATCATAAAAATCATTTTTATATATTACAAATTGATCAAAAAATAAAATATCTTCTCTTCGGTACACAGTGACCTAGATATTTAACGTCACGGTAGAGGGATTGAATATACCTCGTATTAATATTTCAATGTAAGTTAAGCAGGCAAAATATTACATGTATACGTAATAAAAATATATATATTCTCTCCTCTACACTACTTCAGATATTTCATGATAAATCAGACGTATTCTGTGTGCATTTCGTCGAAGAGTAGGTTAAAGGTAGTGCAGGAGAGTGCAGCCGATGAGAAAGATAAGAGACAGACCTTAACACCGACGACCCTATTTTTATGCCGTCTCGAGTTCGACTACCGGAGGTAACCAGAGAATAATTCGCTAAGCTAAGCTTATTACCGGCGATTGACGTTAATGGACCGCCCGGAGGGTGGGTGCGTGACAAAAAAAAGAATCACGTGCCAATGTCCATCGGTCGACGGTTCGATTCGTGCGATTCGTGTGTTTTGCTTGTCACACACTTTGCAAGAGGAGAGGGAAAGAGTGGAAAAAAAAGGTGTATAGAGTCAGCGACGGAGTCGAGTTGAGAATGTTGAGATCGTTCGAGATACGGAGAACAACACTACGGGACGGCAACACGCGAGCGGTAGTACCATGTTTCCGTACTGCGCGGCACT